CGCTGGCTCGGTTAAGAGGGAGGCCAGGAACTGCTCGAAGGTGATGGCCCAGTCCCGGTCCAGGCTGGTGCTCCGGGGCAGCGCCGCCGTGCCCTGGCCGCTGCGCACCAGGACTGTGTCCTCCCCAATGTCCTCGCAGTGCAGCTTGTCCTCCTCGTGGGAGCCGGCGCTCAGCACCGAGTACGAGGACATGGAGCTGTCGTCCTTGGTGTCATCGTCGGAGATGAGCATGGAGGAGCAGTGCCCGTTGTCCCGGGGCGAGGAGTCCTCCAGCTTAATGTCCTCCATCTGTCCTCCGAGGGAGTGTTCCTCGCTGTCGGCCGCCAGGCTGGCCGGGAGGGGCTCAGTGGACTCCAGCACGTAAGGCTGGCCGGGCCCTTTCTTGGGGAAGAGCACACCCGGGATGGCCGGGCTGCAGGCGGGCCCGCTGCCCGCACCCCCGGCCTCCTTGGCAGGCGGCGCGATGAAGAGCTTGCCGACCTCCCCGATCTCCAGCAGGAGGCTGGTCACCGCCGCCGTGGCGTGGTACAGCTCCTGCTCGTTCGGGTCCTCGCTGAACATGTTATACATGGTCTTACACAGTTCAATAAACTGCCCCTGGAAAGTGATTGGGAAAAACACAAAGAATGGGAAGTCAGTGGGGACCAGGGAGGCAGGAGGGAGGACTCAAAAGCCACTGAAATGATTGATGGCTTCTGAAGATCCCCAGGAAGTCCTGTACTGAGTATGCAGGATGGACAGGCACGTTGTTTAAGGTCGCCTTGTTGATGTTTCCATTTTTAACTTGAAAAAATTCAAACTTCCATGAAAGTAGAAAGAGTGAAATAATAAACCTGCATGTACCTGTCACACAGAGGCAAGAATGACTGTTATACATTTGATTCATTAGCTCACTCTTTCCTTGTTGAAGCATCTTGCAGAAATCCCAGACTCATCTGTTTCCCTCTAGTTTTGAAAGGAAAACATGTTTCAGACATCTTTACAGCCAAGCACAGTGATCTGAAAATGACACAGGCTTGTCTTTTAAATATCTGAGAGTATTTTTAATGATCGGAATGAGATGTGTGTTCTCTCAAAACCAAATATTTTTGGTTCACATTTTCTCTGAACAGATCATTTTCTCACAACTGAGCATATTTTTGATGCATAAAAACATGTACAAAATAGATCCAAATAGATACTAATTAAGTGTTCCCAAGTTACCATTATCTTTGAAGAGTCCTTATTCTGTATTTATCTATGACTGGAAAAGAGCAAGATTTGAAATGAATGGATTGAAATGCTAAGCACTTACCTGATTCAATTTGGGTAAATCCTTTGCATTCTTCGACCTGGAAGACCTTTCTGGAGTCCAGAATCTCAGATAGTTACGATTTTCTTGAGAATTCAGCCTCTTCCCTAAAATCCAAATGTCAAGAAATAAGTGTTCACAGGTCAGGAAACAAGTGTTCAACCAGCAAGAAGGCAAACACATAGAAGAGAACATCTGTACCTTTATCCGGCTTTAGACTCACTGTAACAAAGCCATCGTCTGCACTCTGTCTGCTTCTGCTATCCAGTCCAACAACTACCAGGAAATATTCAGAAGAAAAAAGTAGAATGTCACATAATATATCCATAGATTTGGCATTTGTATTACAAAACAGAAAACCCTGGGGTTGCCTACAAAATAGAAACCTAGGGTTGCCTGATTTAGCAAACAAAACAACAGCACACCCAGTTAATTTAGAATTTCAAATAAGGAACAAATAATTTGGTATAAAAATATCCCTAACATTGCGTTAGACATACAAAGCAAATTACTTTTTATCTGAAAATCAAATTTTAATGAATGTCAAGTATTTTATCTGACAACCCTATCTCCAGGTGAGGGGCTCTCCCAGAATTCTTTCTCACAGCTGGGGTTTTGGTTACAACTGAAAGTTAAAGGAATGATGCCACATTTAAGTCTTTGGTACTTAAAAAATGGTGATTCTTGCCCTAGTGAATGATGATTTCTCTCCGCTTTCTGATATATTATCATCTTAACTTTGCATATATGAGATTGGTCTTCTGCCAAGACCTGCAAAAGATTAAGAACTCACTCTTACAAGCAAATTAAAATCTATGTTGCTGGAAGAAGGAAAAAAAAAACTTTTTGTTTTTTTTGATAAAATGTTACAGGCTACAAAATTCCTTCAGATTCATAAATTGGCATTTCAAAAATATGTTCCTTAAAAGGAATCCTCTTAAACATGTTTTCTTTTTTCTTCTTAAAGCAGGAATTACAGTGCACATAAGGACTTCAAAAGGGAGAGGTATACAATGACCTCAGGTTCCATTTAGTTTGTCAGCTGTGAAAGTGCATTCCAGATCTTCTTCAGCCACCCAGCAGGTGACTGGCTTCCAGATATGTGATCTTTACTGTATTTGGTGTCAAATCAATCTTGGCAGCCTTTAAGACAGACCGAGGACAACGTACTATATGTCATCAGGAAATTTCTCTCCTCTGAATGTTGAAAATGATTTAGAAAACAAATAGATATTCACAAATATTTAATGTATGGTAAGCCCATGTAGTAGATATTATATAAATATTTAAAAGCCATGTTTTCAAAGAATTTTTAATTGACATGGTAACATTCTCATTGGATTTTAAGTGAAAAAAAATCAGGATACAAAACTGTATAGGTAGTTTTATCCCAGTTTTATATGTGCATGTGTGTATATCATATATGAATAAAAAACTGAAAAGAATATTTCAAGGTATTAATAGTCAGTTATCTTTTTATAGTAAGATTTTAAGACAGCATTAGCTTATTTTATATATTTTATCCTACTTAGAAATTTTAACACAAAGTAATAATACTTTTGGAGCTAAAAAAACATACTTTAAAAAGCATCTTTTAATGATATTAAATACTGTTGGCATGTGACCATTCCTGAAGCATTTCTGAAACAAGAGAATCCTTGTTTGAAATGAGTGCCCACCAAAGATATAGCTAACATTTTGTAGCCAGAATTTGATTATTAATAATATTAAGAATGTTGCAGGATATGCCAAGGCACCATGTGAAAAACTTTACCACATTAGGTCCTATCTTCACCCATTATGACAGCTATCATCCTATCAACTCCACTCTCCACACAAAGAACCTGAGGATCAGAGATGCAGGAATCCACCTGCATAGCAGGTAACAATACACAGAGCTAGCATTCTGTCCAGAGCTCCTACCCTCAACTCGTACTGCCAATCTTAAGATGACAGAGCCCGGCTCACTTCTCTCTACTCAATCACTTAGGTATTTGCAGTTTAAAAGCAGGTCTAAGCTGTGCTTATTGGGGGATGGCAAGATTTAAGAGGCATGAGTACCCCAGGAGCAATCTATGTTTACTTGCAGACATAGGTGCAGTGATGAAACTATCTGAATGATGAATTAGAAGGTAAATAACGTTCTGCAATAGCAAGCCGAGAGATGTTGATTACACTGATATAAGACAAAGTAGTACAAGATTTAACATGAACATTAGGAGATATATACAATGAGTTGAATCACATCCATGTAGACCTAACAATCAGAGTAGAGCGCGGCAAACTTCTTCTGTAAGAGGCCAGATAGTAAATATTTTAGGCTTTGCAGGCCATATGGTCTCTTTTAACTGCTCAGTTCTTCCACTGCAGCATGAAAACGGCCATGTGCAGTATATAAATGAATGAGCTTGGCTGTGTTCCAATAAAACTTTATTTATAGGCACTCAATTTAAGAACCGTATACACTTTTCATGTGTCATAAAATATTATTTTACATTTGATTTTTTTTAAAAAATATTTAAAAATGTAAAAACCATTCTTAGTTCACAGGCTGTACAAAGTAGGTGAGAGGCTGGACTTGGTCCACGGGCCATGGTTTGCCATCCCCTGTTAGGGAGCAAAGACAGATATAGAGGAGGGTTTCTGATATAAATGCCAGTCTCAATACTTGAGAGCTGCACAATAACAGGATGACATTCTTAATGACCGTGGCCCTAGGAGAGAGAGGGGAGCAAAGCATATAGCTCTACAGGATGTGCTTTTTCCAAGCCAGTGGGACACAATGTACACGGTCCCTTCAGTGGGCTAAAGTACCTGCCTAACCTCAAAAATGTGAAAGAAAAGTAACATATCAGGCAACTGTATTTATACACTTTTTTGATTGACTAGCTTTGGAAGCACATCTTTTTCCAGTAACAGAGGGCTCTGTAGAAAATAAATATGTACCCAGGGTGAGAAAAGTCACTTACCATGAGTGCATTCTGGGGTGATATCTTCAAAGAAGTATTGGGTTGCTTCAAAAGCAGAATCTGGCTCATCTTGATCAGAGGATGGCTCTAGAGAGGAGAGGAAATGTAATTCTCATCTTGGTAGGGCCATGACTCAATGAAAGTGAGCTTTAATTATTAAAGAAAATGACACAAGTTAGGGTGAGAATCTAAAGTCCCACAGGTGGGGTGGGGTCACATCATTGTGGGCCTCGAATGCCTACTGTCTCTAAAACCTTAGTGGGGAGATCACTCCATTTCTAACTTCATTTTCTTTTTTAACTACTCCACACCGAATTTACGTTTTCCTTTTGATAGAGTTTCCCAAATTCTATGGAATAATACTTCACAAACCAAATTGTATTTTGTAGAGGTAATTCCCAAATCTCGAATTTACGTTTTCCTTTTGACAGATTTTCTCAAATTCTATGGAATAATACTTCACAAACCAAATTGTATTTTGTAGAGGTAATTCCCAAATCTATAGTTTTACCATATCTCTATCCTTAGTGACAATCTCTCTGCATTTTTTTTTTGTTTTTAGTATTTGCTAGGTATATCCCAGCTGGGACAAACCTTGTCTAAAATTGAACTCAAAACCTGACCATCTTTCCCCCTTGTTCCTGTCAATGTTAAAACTGCTCCCCTGGACTCAGACTCTCCACGTCTCCCCACTCATTTTCTCTCTCACAATCCTTCTGTCCTGTGTATTTCAAAATGCTATCCATTCTTTCTCTTGCAGAAACCTGCTCTTGTCTATTACTGCAACTCATACTTCAGACAGGTAAATGACCACAGAACCAAGCACAAGCTGATTCAGGAACTTATGGAAATAGCCATTATTCAGTTTGCTCTCAGTGACCAATGAATGATTTTGTACATCAAAAAGAGGCAAACAGCTTACCTCAAAAAAAGAGATTTGAAACCAGGTCATGGTTATATGTAGCTCACTTACCAGGCAAGACATGCATCTTGTACAGGAGTTTGAGTTTCTCTGTGAGATCCCCATGGCATGCGGCACCTAGAAGTCACATAAGTACCAATGTGAAATGCACTGAGTGTACAGGTAACCCCTCTGGACTTAGTGTTACCTGAAAAGTCTGCTTTTTATAAGCTGGAACCAAGACATTGTGTCACAAAAGGTCTGGCCAGAACATATTTGGGTTAAGAGCTCTGGAACCAGGATGGCTGGTTTCAAATCTTGGGAGAGTTAACCTCTCTGTACCTTGGTTTCCCCTTGTAAGGCAAGATAATAGAAGATTCTACCAGTGATCTTGACATAAGGATCCCATGAAACGTGAGGACTAAGTGTGTTAATATATACAAAGCACTTAAACAGTGCCAGGCATATAATAGTGTTACTAATGAGAAATGTCATATGACTGGGCCTCAACATCCTAAATAACTATTAGAATTCAGAAATAATCTCAAAATATGTTTGAGATTTTTTCAAATTCCTCATTTTAGAAGTCCTTCTTAGTTGCTTTTGAGTTCTCCTAAATGTTTCTTCATTTTAATTTATTCTGATCTACCTGCCATTATATCATCATAGCTTCACTCAAAATATCCTGTTACTCGTGTCCTTTAAAGTCTATATTTATTCCTTGTATCAGAAAACTTTTTGTAAATATATATTTCCGAGCGTCTAGTTAGATATGAATTAGATTTGGAAAAAGAAGAAAAAGAGGAATCATAGAATCTAGGTTGGAAGGGACATTCAGGGTTATCTTTTCCAACCTTCCACTTAATGTAGGGGCCTCCTCTCACACACACACGTGAGATACGCATCTAGCATCTGCTTGAACATCCCCAAAGACAGGGAACTCGCTACTGCCAGAGGTATCCCATTCCACAGACGCATCCTCTAAATTCTGAAAGGTCTTCTGTAATTTTTACTTTAGTCTAAGGATCCTTAACCTGTAGTCTCAACTTTGTCAAGTCCATGAACCCCATAAAACGTAAAATTTTGTGTTTATGTATGTATGTCATTTTGTGGGAAGAAAATGTCCGTATCCTTTACCAGATCTCAAAGAGTCCACAACTCAAAAATGGCTTAGAACTATGTACTCCTCTTCCTTTCATTCTACTCTTTAAAGCCAAGCAGGGTAGGTCTATTGCCTCTTCTCTACAATGATCCTTCAGATTTTAAAGGCAGCTATCCTTTCCCTCTTACCGTTTCAGGGCAAGTTTATCTTTCCAGGTTGCATATCTCCAAATTTTCAACTTTCTCAAATGACATGGTTTGTATGCCCTTCCCTATTCTTATCTACATACATCTTATCTCATTCAATGTCTCTCTGGACAGAGTTCCAGAAGCCTCTTGGCGACTTCAGGGGTAGGTAGTGGAACTATTCCTGACTCTTCCATTAGTATAGCCTAAGTTCGCATTCAACATTTTACACTCTCACCCTGGAGTTTCATATTGACCGCAGTTAACGAAACCCCAAGACGTCTGCACACTGACTGATAATAATATGCCAATGTTATCATGAAATGTCAATAATGTTAATCATAAAAATGACAGACATTTAATAACCATCCACTGTGTGGAGCCTTATGCCAACTTCTTTCCATGTATTATTTCATGATGGCTCACAGTAATTCTGAAATGGGCACAATTATTATCCCCTTTTACAGATGAGAAAAGTCAAGCTTATCTGTGTTTAGTTATTCATTCAAGGTCATAAACTAGTAAGTGGCAGGCCCAGGATTTGGACCTAGATTTGTCTGACTCTTGATCCCATGCTGGAGACCACTTACACACACACACACACACACACACACACACACACACACACACATTTTGCCTCATTTCCTCCTACCATGAAACCAATATGATAATCAATAGTTACCTTGAAAGCAAAAAAGATTAGGGTAGAATCAAAGGAGTCTTAAGCCTTGTCTGTTTTGTGTCACTTTTTAAAAAAGCAGAATGTACTATGTATTACTTGTGTAATTAAAAATTAATACCGCTTCCCTCCCCCTAAAAAAGAAAATTCCCTTTTACTATCTGCAGTGTGGAATAATGAGAAAAGGATAAGATTTCGAGAGACAGCCGTCATTTGAATCCTGGGTCCAGTGCGTACTAACTGTGCTTCTCCATTCAGTTCAATAACATATTTATCGACTGGCTAAAAACTAATGTCCCAGCAAGTTACTTAACTTTTCTGAGCTTCCATTTCTTTAGCTGAAAATGGGGATAACCGTAGTAAGCAAGTAGGCAATAGAGCATAATACTTGTAGTAATAGCACAAACTGTGCCTTCAAGGTAGCTGGAATCAAACACAAACTACGTGGCTCTGTGTCCTTAGGCGCATTAAATGCCCGTAAAGCGTTAGGGCAGTGCCTAGCACATAGTAAATGCTGTATAATTTCAGTTAGAATTATAATTACTTCAAGGGTCTGTTGTTTTAAGTGGTATAGCATCAGAATAGTGCCTGCACTCAATAAAGGTTAGTTCCTACCTCTCCCCATTTTTAAGCATATATATGAGCATTTTATACAGTTTTTTTTCTTATCTAAGAGGCCCTCACCTACCTCACTGGCATTTTTTAAAAAGCCATCAGCTGCCTCTGGACTTCACACATTCCAGACATTATTCTTACAGGTTAAGCGTGCTCTTTGAAATCATTATTGGCTCTATGCCTGACCTTTTTTTCTTTCCTTGGGCACATCATTGCCCAGAGTCACAGTGTCATAATCAGAATTTAAAAAAAAAATTCCTTCTAACCTCATTCTGGCAGCTTGACATAATGCCTGCTGCATCTACAAACTTACATCAGGTGGGCCAAGCTCTACTGCCATAGAGATTTTTGATCCAATTATAAATAAAACAAGAGTCCAAAAAGGCAGCAAGATATACGGGGCAGCAGTAAACAAGTCAGAGGCGTGAGGGGATGTGTGGGCGTGGGAGCATGCTCTCCTGACAAAATGAGAGAAAAGACTTCCATTTAGACTGCAGAGCTGTTGTGGGTTTTCAGCCCTTTATTAAAAGCATTATGAAAAGTTTTAGTGAAACACTCTACAATTATACATATGATGAAATTATGTACTGAACTATATATAATATATAATATAAATGTATTTTTTTCATCAAAGGAAAGCAATCCACCACCCATTTTTTTTCTCTTGTAAAGCTATCATGGTCTACGGTTTCAGTGTTTGTGGTGGCATTTTATTGTCTTGCAATTTCTCTGACAATGTATTTGTAACTTGTGTTGAAAGCTAATGTAGAAGGCAATGATTTTTCCATATAACATAGTCATGAACTAAAAACAAATTTTATGATCCGTTTGCAAACCTTCAATATGTGCTTCTCGGCCCTCTAAATGCAGCACAGTAGGGCTGCGGCCCTGAGGGCTGCACTGAGGAACACCAGGGTCACTGCCCCATAGTCACTGCCCCATTGTCCCCATCCCCACTCACATAATAATATCACGTCCTTACTTAGCCCAGAGACAAACTCCCGGAAGTTAATCAGAGAGTCTCCATTTTCGTCTAATAACTGGAACAAGCGGGAGGCCAGCACGTCGGAGTGCGTTCCACACGCCCAGGGAAAGAGAAGAGCAAACATCCCCTTGAACTGCTCAAAGTCAATGCGATACTGTTCCAGGTAAGGCAGGCTGGGGTCGTGGCGGTCCAGTGCGTTGCTGCTCCCGCCCCAGTAGCAGCTGGTTAGGTGCTCGGCCTGAAAAATAAAGAATGGAAGGATTCCTGGGCCTCTATCTCGCAGCAGATGGCAGGATGAAAAGGCCCACCCTCACAGTCTTCTCCCTGCTCCCCACAGATCTCCATTTGACCAGCCCTCCACCAACTCCAGGCCAACCATTTCTGCAGGTTACATCTGGCATGAAAGATTGGTTCTATTACTGGATGTAGGTGAAGAAAGTAAGGGAACCTGCCCCTCCTCCATTCTCTTCCCCCTTACACACACTCACAAAACATTTTAGAAAGAATTAATTCCCATAAAGAGAAAAAAAAAATTGTTTAACATAAAAGAAAGAAATAGAATGTTAACCTGAAAAGGATCTGGAATTTAGATAATGCGACTACCTTGTTTTCTAGGTGAAGACGGTGAAGTCCAGGTGTCAAGTGGCTCACACAAGGTCAACCAACCAGTTAGCTAAAGCAGATCCATGATGGACTTGGGGTTTCCTAATTCCCACTTTAATACCCCATGTATTACACATAAGCCCCTGCTTCCCTGGTCACCTAAATACATTACCATAGAAACACAGTATTCAATCTACAAGTGTGTGGGCTTCCTATTTCACACATCTGCAAATAGCTCTAGAGAAATTATTAGCATAGGAGCCACCACGGTGAGAACAGAGATCTGGATCCAGCAAAGAGCTTCCTGCTTCTGTCCTTGGAAAAAAGACAGCCTCTTTATTCATGAGGTCATACTGACTCTGGTAGAAATATATGCCTATTCTAGGAAGACCACAAAAATAAAGCATGCAATAGAAAGGTCTGGAGGAACACCCACACCCCCACACGAGCATTTATGGTTAGCTCTGGGTGGCAGGTGGAGGAGACAAGAGGGGCATGAAAAAGAGGACTTTATTTTTACTTTATTCCCTTCTGTACTGTCCAGGTATTTCATTACAAGCACTGCAATAAAAAAAAAAAAAAAAAAAAAAAAAAAAAAAAAAAAAAACACTTTTGAAACAGATTTTTCTCCTTTGTCTAGGGCTTCCGAAAAGGGCGGGTATCAGTTTCGAGTGTGAGGTATTTCAATTTTGCTCTCATTTAGAAAAGATTCAAAGAAGACCAATGTCTTTATCATCATTGTTTACTGGAAATTGTAGCTAATAAGGTAAAAAAGAGGAGTGAGCGTAGGGAAAGAGAGGTGGAAAGCAACATGTCAGGTTTCTTGGAGTGCAGTCTTGGCAGAATAAAGGAAGCTGCGTCAGAGTTCCCCAGGGCCTTAGGGGTGCATTTCTGGCTGCAGGACAAAGGCAGTGAGATATCAGAGGAAGGATGGTGAATACTGAGGTCACAGTGGCCTGCTGGG